AGGAATGCAAGGGGAGTTGCCAGGGGACTCTACCTGCATTATGAGGCACTATTTCCGGACACCTTTTCACCAATTTCACCCCTTTCTCTGGTTCTTCCAAAAGTTAACTTTAACTTTTTCTGACTCTGGAGGAATGCAAGGGGAGTTGCCAGGGGACTCTACCTGCATTATGAGGCACTATTTCCGGACACCTTTTCACCAATTTCACCCCTTTTCTGCGGTTCTTCCAAAAGTTAACTTTAACTTTTTCTGACTCTGGAGGAATGCAAGGGGAGTTGCCAGGGGACTCTACCTGCATTACGAGACACTATTCCCGGACACATTTTCACCATTTTCACCCCTTTTCTGCGGTTCTTCCAAAAGTTAACTTTAACTTTTTCTGACTCTGGAGGAATGCAAGGGGAGTTGCCAGGGGACTCTACCTGCATTACGAGGCACTATTCCCGGACACATTTTCACCATTTTCACCCCTTTTCTGCGGTTCTTCCAAAAGTTAACTTTAACTTTTTCTGACTCTGGAGGAATGTAGGGTGAGTTGTCAGGGGACTCTACCCGCCTTAGGAGGCACTATTCCCGGATACATTTTATCCATTTTAACCTCTTTCTCTGGTTCTCTGGTTGCATCCGTCTCTGGATCATGGAAGAATGCATCCGCTGCATGAGGACTTTGGATCGGATACAATTGTTGCCTGGATGACCCCCAATCATGGTTCTTACCAAACTTAACGTTTTGAACTGGTCTCCGGAAGAAAGTAAGGGGAGTTGCCAGGGGACTCGACCCGCCTTAGGAGGCACTATTTCACCCAGTTTTGGCTCCCGCCTTGCCTGGATGATAGGACCGATAGATGACAGGGATCTCTGCCCGCCTAACGAGTGCCTAAATGGGACACCTTTCGCATGATGATGCAAATGGGTTATTTATTGAAAATAAACCGGAGAGATTTGACATGGGGTCTTTCTAGTTCGCTGAGTGCAACTTTCTTATTTTCACCTATCCTTCTTTGTCCCCCCCGGTTCTATACATTATACTGGTGACACTTCCCGGTACCGAAATGCTAAGGCATACAAAAATGATGGCGATCGGTTGTCCTATCTGTAATAGTCCCTACCGTGCCCTGAGCAAGCACCTGCTGAGGAACCATAGTGTGCGTAATTTAGTGGAAAGAAGAATTCTGCTGTTGTTGGCGAAAGGACGGATAAACATTAGGCTCCATCCCTGCATTATTGCAGGATGCGAGTACAACGGGACAAGGCTGGACCGCCACTTGTACAGAAACCATGTTGAGCTGTCCCGGCAGGAATTACATGTGGTTTTAACTAAACTAAAAATGAAAGTGGCCACAAAGAAGCTTCATGAACTCAGTTTGACAAACCCCAGAGTAGCAATGATTACCTCTTGGGATGTTGACACTGTGGGTGATGATGTCCTGTCACAACCTCCACCCTTGTCCCCAGTGATTACATGTGACAACCCGGACTGTAAGGAATGGAGGATGGATGCAAACAGAATGAAGGCTCAGAGGGACATATATGCTGCTGAGGTGAAATCCCTGCGCTGCATGCTGCAGCAGAGGATTCAACGTAACCGAAAGAGGATGAACCAGAGGGCCGAGGACCAAGAGCGGGTGTTTCTAAGGAAACGATCCCGAACAGAGTCAACACCAAAGAGGCTGTCCAAGTCCAAAGGTCCCTCCTGCAGGAAGTCCCCCATTGCCTCTCACACACCTGTATCCAGCTCCTCAGAACCTGCATCCATAGATACCGAGGCCTCGTCATCCTCCCCTCCCATACATTCCCCCTGGTTCAGCGGCAGGGGCCGGGGGAATCGAATGCGGGACATTACATTCCCACGCATCATGGAGAAGTATCTGCAAGGCTACCGGGACCATTATGAGGGCATCGATCCAACAGTGAGGCTCCAAGAAAACGCAGTCTCCAAAATAAGCAGAGTCAAATCATTCCTAAGCTTCATGGCACACGGTTTCAATCGCCTGTCTGACTGGCTCTTTTTGAGGGATCTGAAGAGGATACGTGGGTGGTCCCGGAGCCTGATAAAGTCAAGCCTACAGGTCACGACATCTGACTTCTATATCAAAAATATATCACACTTTCTCAAGTACATGAATGAAACACCATGCAAGGGGAGCAGGCTCAACCAGAATGACATGATTTTAATCACACGGGAAGTTGCTGCCATCCTGAAGTCCATGAGAAAGAAGGTGTTTATCCACCAGATGCAGGTGAAGCGGGACAAGATGGAAGGTCTGCCAAGCCATAAAGACATCATGGCATGTTTGACTGCGGCCAAAACTTGCATCCCTCAGCTCCTGGACGTGATGACCAGCAACCCGACTCACGCAACCCGGAGCCTGCTCTATGGGTACATGACCCTCAATTGGAGCTGCATTTATGGGCACCGTCCGGGGGTCTACTCTAACATGACCAACACGGAGGTCCTAAAGGCGGAGATAACTGGCACTGCCTTTGGCCACCTCATCCACGTGAGTGAGCTATTAAAACATGTGTTTATTCTGGCAGTGATACACATGTTGTGGATGATTGATACTTGTATTGACGCTCTCTAACTCTGTCATAACAGGTAAGCAACCACAAGACGGCCAACGCGTTCGGGGAAGCACAGATGTATCTCACCATAGAAGAATTTGGATGGATGAAAAGGTGGCTGGAAATCAAGGGGACGCTGACCGGCACCAACAACCGCTACTTCCTCTGCATAGCGGGGAAGAACCCATCGAGGAACCTTGCCACCTTCCTGAGGTTAGCATGGGCTGATGTTGGACTAAAAGGTCCCATTAACTTCACCGACCTCCGCACAATCCACGCCGATAATGCGAAGAGGTTTCAGGACATAAGCAACCGCCAAAGAGTGAGTGATTTCATGTGTCACAACACTGCAACTGCAGACAAATTTTATGCCAAGAATCCTTCTTTGAAGGAGGCTGCGGACATACGAATGCTCTTCACAGAGTCACTGCCAGCCTCTGCACCAACTTCACCCGATACGGACAATGTTGCCAGTGATCAACTTGTAAATATGCAATGTTTTGTTGTACTCAGTCCGCTTGTGCTGGATGAGTTAATAATGTTATAATGTTATAAAGTGTCAATGTATATATTTCTGTAAATAAAGTTTGTTAAAATTACTTAATTTGTCCTCTTTTTTATAACCCAATATGTGTGATTCCCCATTAAGATCCCCAGGGGCACGAGGTTCTGGTGGTGTGCATGAAGGGGTTTAGTCCACGTGAGGAGTGCTCAAATGTGGGAGGATGTGTAAGGCAGCGGAGGGTAAAATAAGTTAAAGTGTGAACCTCCAGCAGGGCAGGTGGTGCTGCTGTGAATAAGGCCGACTATGGAGTCCGATGGGCGGACTGTAAAGCACCGCAAAATACACCCCCTGATAGGTTACCAGGGCCATGAGAATATCCTCCATAGGAGGGTGGGTGCTGCTGCTGTGAATAAGTCCGACTATGGTGTCCGATGGGCGGACTGTAAAGCACCGCAAAATACACCCCCTGATAGGTTACCAGGGCCATGAGAATATCCTCCATAGGAGGGTGGGTGCTGCTGCTGTGAATAAGTCCGACTATGGTGTCCGATGGGCGGACTGTAAAGCACCGCAAAATAGACCCCCTTATAGGTTACCAGGGGCACGAGTTTCTTGAGGGTGTAATCATCTGGGTTTAGTCCGTGGGGGAGTGCTTAAGTTTGGGGGCCCGGGGTCCCAAGGTGCGCGAGGTTATGGAAGTACGCATGTCAGGTAGATATGCTGGAGGTCTGTAGTCCGTGTTTTGGGTCTCTGTGAGCGGCCAAAGTGAGGTGGTTTTCCCGGTGTATGTCATGGAAGTCTGAAATAGCCTGTTTGCCCATGTCAAATCTTATTATGAGGCACTATTTTGGGATACATTTTATCCATTTTAACCCCTTTCTCTGGTTCTTCCAAAAGTGAACTTTAACTTATTTAGCCTCTGGAGGAATGCAAGGGGAGTTGCCAGGGGAGTCTACCTGCATTATGATGCACTATTTTGGGATACATTTTATCCATTTTAACCCCTTTCTCTGGTTCTTCCAAAAGTTCACTTATACTTATTTAGCCTGTGGAGGAATGCAAGGGTAGTTATCAGGGGAGTCTACCTGCATTATGATGCACTATTTTGGGATACATTTTATCCATTTTAACCTCTTTCTCTGGTTCTTCCAAAAGTTCACTTATACTTATTTAGCCTGTGGAGGAATGCAAGGGTAGTTATCAGGGGAGTCTACCTGCATTATGAGGCACTATTCCCGGGTACATTTTATCCATTATGTACATTTGGCTTACCGCGACTGGTAGTTAATGTCGCTACGGGCAACGCGTATATCCCTAAGGTATGTTAGGGTTAGGGGTTAGGGTTAGGGTTAGGTTGTTTGTTTAATGGCCACCAGATCTCCCCATGTCGCCCGACGACTTCATGGTTATACAGAGATCCAAGGAAAGGCACACGCACTAGAGGCATTGTCGGCTCAAGCTCTAGCTTAGCATCATGACTGAATCATAAGTGTGTAAAGGTGAAGTAGACAGGGTAATTTAAGTTTGAAGGACAGAGACAAGGAGGCTAGCTGTGACACGGCGGACACCTCCCCTTGCCGCAATGGCGGTCTCTGTTTATGGCCCGTTTCCTTTCATCTTCCCAGAGATGCCCGATCAGAAAGGGGGCGGAAAGAAAGGTTTCTTTATGACCCGAATCCTTTCGTCGTCCTCAAAGGGGGTCGACCAGAAAGGGGTTGAAAGAAAGGGTTAGGGTTAGGGTTAGGTTTTGGTTAGGGATAGGGTTTTGGATTCTCGGTTGAGAGTGGGTGCACGGGCCTGAGGATCTGTGGATGGGTGTATGCAAGTGTTATTCGACATAGGTTCAAATATGAGGTTTTAAGGTGTTTGGACCAATTCTGGAAAATGTGAATGTTGAGAGGGGATCATGGGGGTCTGATTTTCCAAAAAGTCAGCTGAAATCAAGGACTCTGGTTCCCAATATGATGCATTGCTGGAGCCAGAACCAGGCTCCAGGGATGAGCTGGTCCTGGTAGGGGGAAGCAAAGGGGGAACCAGGGGATAGCTTGTGTGCTTGTGAGTGTTAGGCTGAGGGGATCCTGGGGGATTGTCATTTAGACAGTAAACATGTTTTTGCGGCGAGCTGAGCTCCGGAGATGGCTGGCCGGGCAACGGGAGCCCAGGAGACGGACCACGGGAGGGATCAGAGTGGGTTATTGGATGGGTACATGTGACCCTCTTAGTCCCTTTCATCACGAACCCTCCCTGATTTTGGGTGTGGTCTGAAGGGACCCGTTGACCGGCCGAGTCCGACCGGAGACCAGCATCGCCTGTAGGGGGGAGACACAGAGGAGAGGGGTGGTTAGGAAGGAACTTTTTGGACAGGAGGTGTATCTTGCTAGTGGGCTGAGGAGGGGATGGGAAGGGAGGAGAGGGAAGGGGTGGATGCTCCTGGATGGGAGTGATCAGGGAGTGAGAGGGGGGGTCAGGAAGAGGATTTTTAGGAAAGAGGTGTATCTTTCTAGTGGGCTGAGGAGGGGATGGGAGGGAAGGGGAGGGAAGGGGTGGAAAGGGGAGGGGAGGAGACTCCTGGGTGGGAGTAATAAGGGAGGGGTCCTTAGGTTTAGGGCTGGGAGACCTGGGTCCCTTAGGCTTAGGATAAGGGGTAAGGGGAGGGTCTCTCAATGGCTGCCGAGAGGCCTGGAGGGGTTTGGGGTTGAGGACAAGGTTAGAGTAGGAGCCCTGAGGAGGGCAGAATGTCTTGGGGTCAGGGTAGGGGATGAGGTTGGGGTAAATACCCTGGGTGGGGTGGGGGGGTCTTAGGATACGGAGAAGGGATGGGGAGGTGAGAGGGGGTTAGGGTTAGGGTTAGGGTTAGGGTTAGGGGGTTAGGGTTAGGGTTAGGGTTAGGGTTAGGGGTTAGGGTTAGGTTTGAGTAATGACCACCGGATCTCCCCATGTCGCCCGGCGACTTCATGGTTATACAGAGATCCAAGGAGAGGCACGCGCACTAGAGGCATTGTCGGCGCAAGCTCTAGCTTAGCATCATGACTGAATCATAGGTGTGTAAAGGTAAAGTAGACAGAGTAATTAAAGTTTGAAAGACAGAGACACAGGGGAGGGTAGCGGTATTGTACCACGGATGCCACCCCTTGCCGCTTTGGCCGTATCTGTTTTTAGCTCGTTTCCATTCGTCATCCCCAGGGAGGCTCGACTAGAAAGGGAGCGGAAAGAAAAGTTTCTTTATGGCCCGTATCCTTTCGTCATCCTCAAAGGAGCTCGATCCGGAAAGGAGTCGGAATAAGAGCAGAATGAAGAATTTAGGAGAGAATGTGGTTTGGGGTTAGGCAAGGAACCAAGGTGGTTAAATTTTAAGGTCAGATTTAAGGGTAAGTTGGTGTTCTTTGGGGACAAAAAAGTCCGCAATTAGACTGAAGATGGTCTTATTGTTTGATATTTAGTTAAGAGTGTACCATTAGTTAATTTTAGTGGTTATAATTAAGAGTCAGAACGTCAAATAGCTTTTTATGGAGAAGTATCTTAGGATTAGGCAATAAGACAAAGTGGTTAGGTTTAGAGGTTAAATTAAGGATAAGATGGTCTATCAATTGAAAAGTATTAACTTAAGTTTAGGCATAAAGTCTGAGTGGTTAAGTTTAGAGGTAAGATTAAAGATTAGGCCCTACATATATTGTATTAGATATATTCAAGTTGTGTAAAAAGACTGGACCGATTTAATAAAAACCATGTGTAATTTTAGAATGAAAGTGAGCTAAAGATAAGATTAATTAGAGAGATATTTGTCCATGATAAATGATTTCATGGATTAAATGCCGTCACAGGCCCTCCATCTATAGTTAATCTGTCTCCATCTAGTGGCGACAGAGGGGAGTGACCGAAAATAATGTAGAATGCAGATAAGATGCTACATTTATTGCTGAGAAAATGGAGGAATATTAATCTACCCTCCAAAGAAGTCTGTCATAAGACAGGAGGAAAACGCTGTGTGTGTTTTGAGCAGTCAAAATAACCACATTAAACCGTTAGAATTCTGTTTGAAGATAGAAGGAGTACGCTTTTTATAAAGATTTATATTAAATTAGACCAGTCGTCAGAGTAGTTAGGTATAAGATGATGTACTGATTGATGTAAACTAATTTAGGGTTAGGCATAACATCTAAAAGGTTATGTTTAGGGTAAGATTAAAGATAAGATGCTAAATATATTGCTGAGAAAATTAAAATTAGAACAGGGAAATTAGTGGATTTTTGTGTTATTATTCTGTCAGTAATCATTCCCATCCCACAATACGTCAGCTAGGTGTATCCGTATGGGAGTTTTGCCTACTAGCTTTGAATAACGTCAACTAGTGGTTCAGGAATATTCTAATAAGAACTGCAGATCACCAATAACCAATCAAAAATGACCAAAACCATCAAATTAAATAGTGGTGGGAAAGAAAACAAGCGACTCAGTCAATCATACTAAGGTTCGAAGCAAGTCCCCCGTTTCTCCAGGCTCCGGCTAGAGAGGCACGCGCACAAGAGGCATTGTCGGCTCATGCTCTAGCTTAGCATCATGACTGAATCATAAGTGTGTAAAGGTGAAGTAAACAGGGTAATTAAGTTTGAAGGACAGAGACAAGGAGGCTAGCTGTAACTACGGCGGTCACCTCCCCTTGCCGCAATGGCGGTCTCTGTTTATGGCCCGTTTCCTTTCGTCTTCCCAGAGAGGTCCGATAAGAATGGGGGTAGAAATAAAGGTTTCTTCATGACCCGAATTCGATCAGAATGGGGGTAGAAATAAAGGTTCTTTATGACCCGAACCTGGTCAGAATGGGGGTAGAAATAAAGGTCTCTTTATGACCCGAATCCGATCAGAATGGGGGTAGAAATAAAGGTTTCTTTATGACCCGAATCCGGTCAGAATGGGGGTAGAAATAAAGGTTTCTTTAGGGTTAGGTTTGTGTAATAGCCACCAGATCTCCCCATGTCGCCCGACGACTTCATGGTTATACAGAGATCCAAGGAAAGGCACGCGCACTAGAGGACGTGTCGGCTCTTACCCTAGCTTAGCATCATGACTGAATCATAAGTGTGTAAAGGTGAAGTAGACAGGGTAATTTAAGCTTGAAAGACAGAGACAAGGAGGCTAGCTGTGGTTACGGCGGACACCTCCCCTTGCCGCAATGGCTGTATCTGTTTATGGCCAATTTCCATTCGCCGCCCCGAAAGGTTCGATCCGGAAAAGGGGTCAGAAAGAAAGGTCAGAGTGAAAAAGTGGGGGGATAATGTGGTTTAGATTTAGGCAAAGAGCCAAAGTGATCCAGGTTAATGGTCAGATTAAAGGCAAGCTGGTCTTCTTAGGGAACAAAATAGTCTGCAATTAAAAAGAAGATGGTCTATTTATAGATATGTAGTTAAGAATGTACCATTAGTTAATTTTAGTGGTTATAATTAAATGTCAGATAGCCCAGAGAATGTGGTTTTTAGGATTTGATGGAAACTAACTTAGGGTTAGGCATAACATCTAAAAGGTTATGTTTAGGGTAAGATTAAAGATAAGATGCTACATTTATTGCTGAGAAAATGGAGGAATATTAATCTACCCTCCAAAGAAGTCTGTCATAAGACTGGAGGAAAACGCTGTGTGTGTTTTGAGCGGTCAAAATAGCCACATTAAACCGTTGGAATTCTGTTTGAAGATAGAAGGAGTACGCTTTTTATAAAGATTTATATTAAATTAGACCAGTCGTCAGAGTAGTTAGGTATAAGATGATGTACTGATTGATGTAAACTAATTTAGGGTTAGGTATAACATCTAAAAGGTTATGTTTAGGGTAAGATTAAAGATAAGATGCTAAATATATTGCTGAGAAAATTAAAATTAGATTTGAACAGGGAAATTAGTGGATTTTTGTGTTATTATTCTGTCAGTAATCATTCCCATCCCACAATACGTCAGCTAGGTGTATCCGTATGGGAGTTTTGCCTACTAGCTTTGAATAACGTCAACTAGTGGTTCAGGAATGTTCTAATAAGAACTGCAGATCACCAATAACCAATCAAAAATGACCAAAACCATCAAATTAAATAGTGGTGGGAAAGAAAACAAGCGACTCAGTCAATCATACTAAGGTTCGAAGCAAGTCCCCCGTTTCTCCAGGCTCCGGCTAGACAGGCACGCGCACAAGAGGCATTGTCGGCTCATGCTCTAGCTTAGCATCATGACTGAATCATAAGTGTGTAAAGGTGAAGTAGACAGGGTAATTAAGTTTGAATGACAGAGACAAGGAGGCTAGCTGTAACTACGGCGGACACCTCCTCTTGCCGCAATGGCGGTCTCTGTTTATGGCCCGTTTCCTTTCGTCTTCCCAGAGAGGTCCGATAAGAATGGGGGTAGAAATAAAGGTTTCTTCATGACCCGAATTCGATCAGAATGGGGGTAGAAATAAAGGTTCTTTATGACCCGAACCTGGTCAGAATGGGGGTAGAAATAAAGGTCTCTTTATGACCCGAATCCGATCAGAATGGGGGTAGAAATAAAGGTTTCTTTATGACCCGAATCCGGTCAGAATGGGGGTAGAAATAAAGGTTTCTTTATGACCCGAATCCGATCAGAATGGGGGTGGAAATAAAGGTCTCTCTATGACCCGAATCCGACCAGAATGGGGGTAGAAATAAAGGTTTCTTTATGACCCGAACCCGATCAGAATGGGGGTAGAAATAAAGGTTCCTCTATGACCCGAATCCCTACATCGTCCTCAAAGGGGGTCGGCCAGAAAGAGGTTGAAAGAAAGGTCAGGATGAAAAAGTGGGGAGAGAATGTGATTTGGATTTAGGCAAAGAGCTAGAGTGATCAAGGTTAATGGTCAGATTTAAGGGTAAATTGTTTTTTTTAAGGAATAACATAGTCTGTAGTTAGACTGAAGATTGTCTATTATTTGATATTTAGTTAAGAGTGTACCATTGGTTAATTACAGTGGTTTTAATTAAGAGGCAGATAACTCTTTATGGAGATGTATTTTAGGGGAAATACAAAATTGAACCAAAATATATTTCTAAATAAAAGTTGAATTTAGAGATTTTAGAGACAAGTGTACCATAAGTGGATTTTAATTGTTTGAATTGAAAGTCAGATAGTTTTTTATGGAGATGTATATTAGGATTAGGTAAGTAGGCAGAATGGTTAGGTTTAGAGATAAAATTAAAGATGAGATGGTCCACCAATTGATTGATATTAACTTAAGTTCAGTCATCAAGTCTGAGTGGTTAAGCTTAGGAGTAAGATTAAAGATAAGGTGCTACATTTATTGCTGAGAAATGGAGGATTATTATTCTCCCCTGCTGAGTAGTCTGTATAAAAACAGAAGGAGTACGCTTTTTGTAGTGAATGGTCAAAATAGCCATAATGAACAGTTAGAAGTCTGTATAAATACAGAAGGAATGCGCTGTTTGTAATGAGTGGTCAAATTAGCCACAATAAACGGTAAGTAATCTGTATAAATACAAAAGGAGTACGTTTTTTATGGAGATTTATATTAGATTTAGATAAGCAGCCAGAGCGGTTACGTTTAGAGGTCAAATAAAGGATAAGATGGTGCACTGTTTGATGGATACTAACTCAAGTTTAGGCATTAAGTCTAAGTGGTTAAGTTTAGGGGTAGGATTAAAGGTAAGGTGCTACATTTATTGCTGAAAAATAGAGTAACATTCTACTCACCTCCTTAGTGATCTGCTATAAGAGAGGAGGAATACGCTGTGTGTTTTGAGTGGTCATACTAGCCACAATAAACGGTTAGACCTCTGTCTGAAGACAGAAGGAGTACGCTTTTTGTAGTGAATGGTCAAAATAGCCATAATGAACAGTTGGAAGTCTGTATAAATACAGAAGGAATGCGCTGTTTGTAATGAGCGGTCAAATTAGCCACAATAAACGGTAAGTAATCTGTATAAACACAAAAGGAGTACGCTTTTTATGGAGATTTATATTAGATTTAGATAAGCAGCCAGAGCGGTTA